ATCCTCACTATACTATACAAAAATTAACTTAAAAATGAATCATAGATCTAACAGCAAAACCTATAACCATAAAGCTTCTACAAGAAAATGTACAGAAAAATATTTTTTAAATTTTAACCTCGGGATAAGCAAAAATTTCTTAGATATGACACCAAAAGCACAACCCACACAAGAAAATCTGACAAATTGGACTTCATCAAAATTAAGAGCTTCTGCTCTTCAAAGGCACTGTTGAGAGAATAAAAAGGAAATGGACTGGGAGAAAATATTTGCCAATCACATTTTCTGACATATTCTTTGATCCAGAATACGTAAGGAACCCTCAAAATGCACTGATAAGAAAATCAGCAACCTAATAAAAAGTAGGCCAAACATTTGAACAGCTATTTCAACAAAGATATACAGATAGCAAGTAAGAAGATGAAAGGGTGCTCAACATCATTTGTCTTTAGAGAAATGTATATTGAAATCATGAGATACTCCTTATAAAATGGCGATGATTAAAATGACTTCACATACCAATGTTGACAGGGATGTAAATCAACTACAACTCTCACACACTGCTGGCAGGCACCTAAAACAGTACAACCACTGTGGGAAACAATTTGGCAATTCCTTAAAAAGTTAAACATCCAAATACCATACAATCCAGCCACTCCACTCTAGGTATTTAGTCAAGAGAAATCACAGCATATGCCCACACAAAGACTTATATATAAATATTCATAACAGCTTTTTTTAATAATAGCCCAAAACTGAAACAACCCAAATGTCCATTAACAGATGAAAAGATAAACAAACTGTGGGGGCTGGCCCCGTGGCCGAGTGGTTAAGTTCGCGCGCTCCGCTGCAAGCGGCCCAGTGTTTCGTTGGTTCGAATCCTGGGCGCGGACATGGCACTGCTCGTCAGGCCACGCTGAGGCAGCGTCCCACATGCCACAGCTAGAAGGACCCACAACGAAGAATATACAACTATGTACTGGGGGGCTTTGGGGAGAAAAAGGAAAAAATAAAATCTTTAAAAAAAAAAAAAAAAAGATAAACAAACTGTGATATATGCATATAATAGAATACTAGCCAGAAATAAAAAGGAAGGAAATATTGAAATATCCAACATCAGTTGAAAATCTAAATCAGTTTGATTCTCAGATCCCCACCTCTTCTTGGAACAGCAGAATTGGAAATTCATTCTCTGAAATGGATAAAACACATGGTCTCTGGACTAGAAGATAACAGGCACAATTGAGGGCAGGAGTGCTAAACAGTGTGAGGTAGGGAATTAAATTCAATAATTAAACATTTTTTCAGGACTATTTATTGAATGATTTTTCCTTTTCCTGCTTCTTTCAAATGTCAACTTTATCTTATACTAAATTCTTCTATGTACTGCTGGTCTGTTCCATTTTTGTATTCATTGATTTCTCTATTCTAGCACTGGAATCACACGTTTTTGGTATTGTTTATAATTGGCGGTATATAGATCCTATTATTGCTTCTTGTTTCACATTTCTTTTTCTGTGAATTCCACCATATGCCTTGAAATAAAAGTACTGATATGAAAAGTAGACACAAAAATATTTACTGTATAATTTTAATAGTATAAAAGAGAAATGTCATGAATGCCCAACAAAAAGAGAAAAGTTAATTAGGATTCATCTACACCATGAAATATTATGCAACTATTAAAACAAATAAGTTTGATCCCTACATGTATTTGGTTAACCTTGAAAAGTTAACCAAAATATATTGAGAAAAATCAAATTGCAGACTACTGTGTGTGTGTCTGTGTGTGTGAATATCCTGTGTTTTACATGTATTAACTCAGTTATAGCCACCCAACAACTATGAGACAGATACATTATTCACATTGCACAGATACGAAATAATTGCATTAACATAGAAAAACGCATGCAAAAATACATTTAATCACCTATGAATTATTTGAATACTCAAAAGTATCAAGCATTTCTTTAAGGGAAAACAAAAAGACAATAAAATAAAAGGGGGAAAAAGTAAGTTTGCTCCAGAGTGTGAAGAGCCTTAAAACATGTCAAGAAGCTTAGTTTTTATCCTGTATGCAGCTTGGAGCTAGAGAGTTATCAGAAAAGATAGTAAGCATGATTCTGAGGTGAGTGGGTCAGTCAGTGTTCTAGAATGAGAGCTCGTCTGACAGTTGGAAGGTGAACAGAGGAACAAACTGGTGGCAGGGAGTCAGGCTGGTAGTAGTCTGTGTTAACAGTCTAGAGAGGAAACAAAGAAATCTGAACTAATGGAAATATAGCAGTGGATAGAGAAGAGGGAGGAAATTCAAATAAAGACGTCTAAAATAAAACCTATGGGAGATGGTATCCATACAGACAAGATAAAAGCAAATGAATGAGGTTTCTACCATGAATGAAATGCATAGATGATGAGATATCTCCATCAGAGAACTGGAAGGGCAGTGGTACCTTTTAGGGAAAGCAAGTTTCAGTTAAAGCTGACTAGAACACTATGTTGCTCAGTAATACTTCCAGCAAAGGATGGAAAAGAAATGAGAAAATACTGCAAATTAATTCAAATTATTTTTTAAATTTCCTGCATGTTATTAGATCCTATAAATATTTAATAGGGGAAGATATTGATATTTATAACTAAGATTTTAAGGTCTATAGATTTCATTTACTTATACCATCTCAGTTCCCCATTATCAGAAAAAAAATGATTATAACAGGAACATGAAAAAAAATCTCCAACGCATGTCTCTTTTCTTAAACAGAATGGATATGGATACATCCTTCTAAAACAAGGAGGTTTCGAATAGAAATTTAGCATATATATGAATATATTCAACTGCACCTATTGACAGAGCCTCTAGGCACATATCCACATATCCATAGAACATCCACACACATCTGAAACACTACAAATAAGCCAGACCCAAATCTTCCAACTAAAAACTCAATTAAAAAATAAACATTGATGCTTAAAAGCTCAAGCTTTGAGCTAATGTTCTTCTTCATTCCAATTTTTTTGCATTGCATTCCTCTCATTTCTCAATCATAATTCTCAAATTTAAAAATAAGGCCTGTATTAAAACTTTGGTTAACTTAAGCCTGTTTCATAAAATGCAAGAGTTTCTAAAAGTTTTAAATGCTTATTATATATTTATTCAAAAAAAAGAAATTTATAGATCCTTGGTCTTAGTCTAATATATATTCAATCCCATTTTCTACACCTACTTATCAATATTTTAAATTCTGTGTATGAAAAATCTTGTCTGGAACGAATGCTCTCAGAAAATATGAGATCTCCAATTACCAAAGATTTGATTTCGTTTGTTATACTATTTGTACTAATGTAACAAATCAGATTGGAATGTTTCAGAACAAATATAAACAAAATAGATTTTCTACTAAACTTTCAAATTATCAGTCTATTCATTATTAAGAATATTTTATTCCTAAGCTTTTGCAATAGTAAAGCAGAGTACTCCTAAATAAACTATAAGCCTGAGTTTCTTGGGCCAATATTCATATGCAGAGCAAATAAGATTTAGGCACGGCTACTTCACAAATTGATCATTATTACGCCCTCTACCAATCAGGAACAGCACAAGACTGTTTCAGCTTCTCTTGTTTCTTATCTGACTCTTGACCCTTGGAGATGACCCCACGGATCCAGATATGGAAACTCATACAGAATGTGCATCTACTGCCTCAGGCAGAGTCAGAATATGTAGGAATGGTCTTCTGACACATCGGATAATTTCAAGCAATGCAAAACAAAGTCCCTATTCTTTTCAATTTGTATCTTAATAGTTTGCTTCCATTTTTGGCTGAACTGGATACATGTGCACATACTATTGAGTACTGTAAGTTAAGTCGTCATCTCTATAGTGATGACATAATTTTATTATTGTGGGCTAGAAGTGTCTCACATGGGTGTTGAGTCTAGAATAACGTGAGCCATATATGTAAATTTAGATTTTCTAATAGCCTCATCAAAAAGGTAAAAAGAGGAAAAATCCAAAATACCATCATTCCAACATATGACCAATATAAATATTATTGAGGCATTTTTACATTTCTTTTTTGTACTGTTTTAAAAATCAGTGTTTATTTTACACTTATAGCACATTGCAATTATGACGAGCCATATTTCAAGTGCTTCATGCCTCATGTGGACAGTGGCTACTCTTTTGTGCAGCACAGGGAAGGTCTTATACAATTATTTCCAGGAAAAAACAGAAAACAAAATTAACTCTGATAATTCAAAAGGCCTTCTAAAAATAACTGAAAATATTGGCTTTGTAATAAATACCCATATGACTGAATCACAGAAAATTTCTTAATTTCTTATCTTTTGAGCAAAAATGTATAATAGACCTAGTATAGAGTCACATAAGAGACTGAAAATATACAATTTTACATAAGTGAACACATTAGGGAGCACTATAGCTAAAATTATACAAATGAAACATTTTCTAATGAATAATATGCACCTTGAATTGCTTGATGTAATTCTCAATAACATGTATTCACATGGCAAACCAGAATTGGCTAACTATGAGCAGAAATAACTCCTTGAGTTAAAAATCACACAACTTATGATCTCTCTACTATTTATAAAGTATATGCCACAAGATAGCATTTTAGAATATGAGAAGGAATTTGTAACCATGCAGAGAACCACAGAGAAAAGAAAACATGAGGGGACAGCCCCGTGGTCGAGTGGTTAAGTTTGCGTACTCCACTAAGGCAGCCCAGGGTTTCTCTGGTTCGGATCCTGGGTGCAGACATGGCACCACTCATCAGGCCACGTTGAGGCTGCGTCCCACATACTACAACTAGAAGCACCCACAACTAAAATATACAACTATACTGGGGGGATTGGGGGAGAAAAAGCAGGAAGAAAAAAAAGAAGATTGGCAACAGTTGTTAGCTCAGGTGCCAATCTCTAATTAAAAAAAAAAAAAGAAAAAGAAAGAAAGAAAACATGAGACGAAAAGTAGACCATACATTTCAATCCAGTTTCAACTTTATCACTAGTGCTAAAAGTAGTCTTCTCTTCTCCACCTGGATATAATTCCTGAAAAATAAACCAACAGACAAGGCAGATTAATTTCTCATTGTTATGCAAACACTCTTTTTGGTGGCAATTTTTCTTATCCTCATATTCTCTTCCTAGGTAACAATATTTCCAAGGGTAATGTGATAGATAGAATAATGGTACTCCAAAGATGTTGACACTCTAATCCCCAGAATCTCTGAATACATTACATTGCATGGCAAGGGGGAATTAAGGTTGCAGATGGAATTAAACTGCTAATCAGCTGACCTAATCCTGGATTTTTTTTCTTACACAACTGCTTTGGCTAGAATCACTAAAATAATGAGAGGATAATTTGTGTCTTATTGATGAATTTAATGGCACGCCTGATACAGCTTCACTATTCAGCATGATGTTTGCTATTGGATTCTCATGGATACCTTTTCCTCATATTAAGGAAGCTTTTATTCCTTGAGTAAGGAACAAAAAGAGGCAGAAAAGCATAATGAATAAAAGCACAGACTCAGGATTCAAACTGCCTAGGTTCAAATGCCAGTTCCATCTCTAACTGCACAACTTTGGAAAGATACAAAACCACTCTGTGCCTCAGTTTCCTTATCTATAAAATGAACACCTGAAAGAACAAACTGAACGTGAAATGAATACCTGAAAGAACAAACATGCAAAATCATCTAGGACTAGTACTTTTGTGGAATAAATCCCTAATAAACTTCCAATGTCTTCTATGCTAACTGATCTATCAATACAATCAACTTTGTTATGCATCAATTCTGTAATTTACATTTTTCTAGGAATTCAAGTATTTCCATTTAGGTATTCTAATGTATTGAATAAAAATTGTACATATTTTTATATTTATTGCTATCTTATGTATTTGCAGTTCTATCACCATTTTCATTCCTTGTGTTCTGTATTATTTTTCTCTCCTTGGGTTTGCCTAGGTAGGTCTATTTGTCATATTCAAAGATTCAGTTAGCTTTATTTTTATCAAACATCTACTGGATGTGTTATTTATTCATGTCTTTGTTTGCTTACTTTCTAATTTATTACTTTCTCTTCTTAAGTATAGTCATGAATCACTTAACAATGGAGATACATTCTGAGAAATGCATCATTAGGCAATTTGGTCACTTTTCGAACACCATAGAGTGTACTGAATGGAAACAAAATTTGCCACCCCAAAATGTGTCTCTTTAACATAAGAATTATTTTAGGCTGCTTATTTTTTTTTAATTGACGTTATGACAGTTTACAGCATTGTGAGATTTCGGTTGTACATTACTATTTGTCAGTCCTCATATAGCTATGCCCCTTCACCCTTTGTGAGCACCCCCCACTTCCCTTTCCCTGGTAACCACTAAATACTTCTCTTTGTCCATGTGTTTGTTTATCTTCCACATAAGAGTGAAATCATACAGTGTTTGTTTTTCTCTATCTGGTTTATTTCACTTAACATAATACCCTCAAGGTCTAACCATGTTGTTGCAAATGGGACAATTTTGTCATTTTTAATGGCCAAGTAGTATTCCATTGTGTATATATAGACATATACCATATCATCTTTATCCAATCATCAGTTGATGGGCACTTAGGTTGCTTCCACATCTTGGCTATTGTGAATAATGCTGCAATGAACATAGAGGCGCATGAGTCTCTTTGAATCGCTGATTTTAAGTTCTTATCCAAAAAACTTTAGATAAGAACTTGAAATCAGCTGAGTCATGGTATTTCTATATTTAGTTTTTTGAGAAATCTCCATACTGTTTTCCAGAGTGCCTGAACCAGTTTGCATTCCCATCAGCAGTGTCTGAGGGCTCCCTTTTCTGTATAACCTCTCCAACATTTGTTATTTTTTGTCTTGGTTATTACAGCCATTCTAGTGGGTATACAGTGATATCTTACTGTACTTCTGATCTGCATTTCCCTGATGATCAGTGATGTTCACCATCTTTTCATGTGCCAATTGGCCATCTGTATACCTCTTTGGAAAAAAATCTGTTGATATCCTCTGCCCATTTTTTTTTATAAAGTTGTTTGATTTTTTTGTTGTTGAGTTGTGTGAGTTCTTTATATATTATGGAGATTAAACCTTTGTTGGATACATGATTTTCAAATTTCTTTTCCAGTTGGTGGGTTGTCTTTTCATTTAAATCCTGGTTTCCCTTGCCTTGTAGAACCTCTTTAGTCTCATGAAGTCCCACTTGTTTATTTTTCCTTTTGTTTCCCTTGTCCAAGAAGACGTGGTGTCTGAAAAGATTCTTTTAAGACCAATATCAAAGAGTGTACTGCCTATATTTTCTTCTAGAAATTTTATGGTTTTAGGTCTTCCTTTCAAGTCTTTGATCAATTTTCAGTTTATTTTTGTCAATGGCATAAGAGAATGGTCTATTTTTATTCTTTTACATGTGGTTGTCAAGTTTCTTCAACACCATTTATTAAAGAGACTTTCCTTTCTCCATTGTATGTTCTCAGCTCCTTTGTCAAAGATTAACTGTCCATAGATGTATGGTTATATTTCTGGGCTTTCAATTCTGTTCCATTGATCTGTGTGCCTGTTTTTGTACCAGTACCACACTGTTTTGATTACTATAGCTTTCTAGTAATTTTCTTTTGAAGAAGAAGATTAGCCCTGAGCTAACTGCTGCCAATCCTCCTCTTTTTGCTGACGAAGACTGGCCCTGAGCTAACATACAAGCCCATCTTCCGCTACTTTCTATGTGGGACGCCTACCACAGCATGGCTTGCCAAGTGGTGCAATGTCTGCACCTGGGATCCAAACCAGCTAACCCCAGGCCGCTGAAGCAGAAGGTGTGCACTTAACCACTGCGCCACCAGGCCAGCCCCTCTAGTATATGTAGAAGTCAGGGATTGTGATGCCTCCAGCTTTGTCCTTTTTTCTCAGGATTGCTTTAGCAATTCAAGGTCTTTTGATGCCCCATATGAATTTTAAGATTCTTTACTCTATTTCTATGAAGAATGTCATTGAGATTCTGATTGGGATTGCATTGAATCTGTAGATTGCTTTAGGTGGTATGGATATTTTAACTATGTTTATTCCTCCAATCCATGTGCATGGAATGTGTTTCCATTTCTTTATATCATCATAAATTTCTTTCAGTAAAGTCTTGTAGTTTTCATTGTATACGTCTTTCACTTCCTTGGTTAAATTTACTCCAAGAGATTTTATTCTTTTGTTGCAATTGTAAATGGGATTGGGCCCTTAGTTCTCTTTCTGTCAGTTTGTTATTGGAGTATAGAAATGCAACTGTTTTTTGTAAGTTGACTTTGTACCCTGCAACTTTGCTGTACTTGTTGTTTATTTCTAATACTTTTCTGATGGACTCTTTAGCATTTTCTATATATAAAATCATGTCATCTGCGAACAGCAAGAGTTTCACTTCTTCATTGCCTACTTGGAGTCCTTTTATTTCTTTTTCTTGCCTAATTGCTGTGACCAAAACCTCCACTACTATATTGAATAAGAGTGGTGAGAGTGGGCACCCTTGTCTTGTTCCTGTTCTCAGAGGGATGGCTTTCAGTTTTTCCCCATTGAGTATGATGCTGGTTGTGAGGTTGTCATATATGGCCTTCACTATGTTGAGGACTTTTCTTCTATATCCATTTTATTGAGCATTTTTATCATAAATGGATGTGGGACCATGTCAAATGTTTTCTCTGCATCTACTGAGATGGTCATGTGGCTTTTGTTCCTCATGTTGTTAATGTGGTGTATCACATTGATTGATTTGCAGATATTGAACCATCCCTGTGTCCCTGGTATAAATCCCACTTGATCCTGGTGTATGATCTTTTAATGTATTGCTGTATTTGGTTTTCCAATGTTTTGTTGAGGATTTTTGTATCTATGTTCATCAGTGATACAGTGTAACAACCTTCTGGTGTTGTCCTTGTCTAGCTTTGGTATCAGGGTGATGCTGGCCTTGCAGAATGTATCAGGAAGTATTCCATAATCCTCAATTTTCTGGAATACTTTAACAAAAATAGATATTAAATCTTCTTTGAATGTCTGGTAGAATTCTCCAGAGGAGCCATCTGGCCCTCAACTTCTATTTTCGAGGAGGACTTTGATTTCTGTTTCAATCTGTTTATTTCTGATTGATCAATTCAGATTCTCTATTTCTTCTTCATTCAGTTTTGGGAGGTTGTAAGAGTCTAAGAATTTATCCATTTCTTCTAGGTTGTCCAATTTGTTGGCATATAGTTTTTCATAGTATTCTCTTATAATCTTTTGTATTTCTGTGGTATCTTTTGTAATTTCTCCACTTTCATTTCTAATTTTATTTATTTGGGTTTTCTCCCTTTTTTCCTACTGAGCCTGGAGAAGGGTTTGTCAATTCTGTTTATCTTCTCAAACAACAAGCTCTTTGTTTCATGAATCCTTTCTACTATCTTTTTTGTTTCAATTTCATTTATTTCTGCTCTAATTTTTATTATTTCCCTCCTTCTACTGACTTTGGGCTTGGTTCTTCTTTTGCTAATTCTGTTAGGTGTAGTTTGAGATTGCCTATCTGAGATTTTTCTTGTTTGTTAAGGTGAGCCTGTATTGTAATGAATTTCCCTGTTAGGAAGGCTTTTGCTGCATCCCAAATGAGTAAGTATGGTGTGTTTTCATTTTCATTTGTCTCCAGATAATATTTTCTTTCTCCTTTAACTTCTTCAATGATCAATTGGCTGTTCAGTAGCGCATTGTTTAATCTCCACATCTTTGCCCCTTTCCTAGCTTTTTTCTTGTAATTGACTTCTAGTTTCATAGAATTATGGTTGGAAAAGATCCTTGATATTATTTCAATCCTCTTAAATTTATTGAGGCTTGCTTTGTTTAACAACATATGGTCTATCCTTGAGAATGTTCCATGCAAAACTTGAGAAGAATGTGTGACCTGCTGTTTTTGGATGGAGTGTTCTATATATATTTATTAAGTCCATCTGGTCTAGTGTTTCATTTACTTCTATAGTTTCCTTGCTGACTTTCTGTCTGATCTATCCATTGGTGTAAGTGGGGTGTTGAGGTCCCCTCCTATTGTTGTATTGTTAATATCTCCTTTTAGGTTTGTCAGTACATGCTTTATGTAATTTGCTGTCCTGTGTTGGGTGCATGTGTTTACAAGTGTTATGTCTTCTTCATGGAGTGTCCCTTTTATCATTATATACTGCCCCTCTTTGTCTCTCTTTACCTGTTTTGTCTTGAAGTCTATTTCATCTGACATAAGTATGGTGACACTTGCTTTCTTTTACTCTCCATTAGCTTGGAGTATTGTCTTCCATCCCTTCACTCTGAGTCTGTGTGTGCCTTTTGGGCTGAGATGTATTTCCTGCTGCAGCATATTGTTGGATCTTATTTTTTAGCCCATCTTGCTACTCTGTCTTTTGATTGGAGAATTCAATCCACGTACATTTAGAGTGATTATTGATATATGAGGGCCTACTGCTGCCATTTTATCACTTTTTTCTGGTTCTCCTGCATTTTTTTTCTTTCTCATCCCATGTATTTCAGACTACCAATTCAGTTAGGTAGTTTTCTATGCTGGTTTTCTTAGTTTTCTCCTTGTTTATAATTTGTATCTCTGTTCAAATTATATGTTTACTGGTTACCATGTGGTTTGTATAAAAGATCTCATAGATGAGACAGTCCAATTTCTGATAGAGGTTTTGTCTCCCCTTTCCTCTTTTTTTTTTTTTTTTTTTTTTTTACAGGTATGAGAGACTTCCTGAGAATTTCTTGTAAGGGGGGTCTTGTGGTGATGAACTCCCTTAACTTTTGTTTTTTGGGCAAAGTTT